CCTAAACTTGTGTCACACTGCCAGTGTAGCGCACTATTTTACAAATCAGTGATTATCCTGTGAATAGAGAAATAGTGACATTGTAAGATCTGTCATATGGCAATTAAAAGAAATAAACCACACATTTCTATATCTCATTTTAAAATGTCTTCTTTTCATGTATTTCATTTTGATTGAAGTATAGCTGATTTACAGTGTTATGTTCATTTCTGCTGCAGCCACATGGATGGACTGTCACACTGAATGAAGTAAGATAGAGAAATATCATAGATACTGTTTGTGTGTGGAATCTAAAAAAAGGGTACAAATGAACTTACTTACAAAAACAGAAATAGAGTCACAGATGTAGAAAACACACTTATGGTTACCAAGAGGGGAAAGAAGGGGGGATATATTGGGAGACTGGGACTAACATATACACACTACTCTATATAAAATAGGTAACTAATAAGGACCTACGCTATAGCACAGGAAACTACTCAAATACTCTGTAATGCCCTGTATGGAAAAAATCTAAAAAAGAGTGGATACATGTATATGCATAACTGATTTACTTTCCTACACAGCATAAACAAACAACATTATAAATCAATTAGACTCCAATAAAAATCAATTTAAAAAATTTCTGTTGTACAGCAAAGTGATTCAGTTATACATATACTGGGTTGGCCAAAAAGTTCGTTTGAGTTTTTCCATAGGATATTATGAAAAAACCCGAATGAACTTTTTGGGACAGCCCTATATATACATTCTTTTAAAAAATATTCTGTTTCATTTTGGTTTCTCATAGAAACACTGAAGATAATTTTCTGTGCTATATAGGAGGACCTTCTTGTTTATAAAATTTCTTCTTTAAAAAAAAAGTCACTGAGACCCTTAAAAAAAATGGAGGTGGCCCAGACCTTTCTAGAACTCTGGGAGGCCCAGAACATAGTTATTACTTTATTTTTAAAATGTGATAATTTTAGATAGGGGCCCCAGACTAACGAGTTGTTAATAACTTAACTGTATAAACACCTGACTCACAAACTGCTACCTACTAGCCATACTGTTTCTGCTGCCTTGTAACCAGTGGTCAGAGAATTCACAGCTTCTCCAGCAGTGGTTCACAGCCCTGGTTGCATGTCTAATCTGAAGGTCAGTCACTATTTTCAATGTAACGTGTCCAGGGTGATGGGTTACAAGTGCCCAGAAAACAGTTTAGAAAAGAAGTTTGAGGGTGCAGTCCCCAAGATGTTGAAGGAACTGCCTCAATAATACTTTTGACCAAATACCTTCAATTATTCCTCAAATTTCTTACTGTGCATAAATATATGAAAGTAAATAAATACTGAGTCAAAAGTATTATGTTCATGTGTCCATTTTTAGAAATGATGTGAAGTACCAGATTTTTATAGGTGGTAAAACTACAACAAACCCAAACTGTCAAATGAATGAATTCTTTTTGTTCCTTTAAAAAAAAAAAGAAAATGGATTTATAACACAGAGAAAAACATATTCTTGGATACTGGCTGAGGTCAGTACTGCCCATTCTTCTGGACCTCCTCCACTTCATCCTACTTCTGTACTATGATTACCGATGCTCTGAAGATGATGATCCTCTCTGTATCCCAGCAACATTCACCCATTCTTGAAATCAAGATTTATTTGTGTTCATCTAAACCCCAAACACGGGCTTCTCTGGTGGCTCAGTGGTAAAGAATCTGCCTGCCAATGCAGGAGATGAGGGTTCGATCCCTGGGTCAGGAAGATCCCCTGGGAAAGGAAGTGGCAACCCACTCCAGTATTCCTGCCTGAGAATCCCATGGACAGAGGAGCCTGGCATACCACAGCTACCACTCAATGACTAAACAACAACAAAACCCCAAACACAAGAAAATGTCCAGGGAAGTTGGAGGAGCAAATGAGAATTGAAGAATCAGGGTACATTGTCTCACTCCCTGCCTACTATACCACCGCCTCCCACCCCCCCACCGCCTGCCCGCCTGCCTGCTTTACAGGCATTCACCTGTAAAGGTGAATTCACCCTGCTTTACATCCCATTTGGAATGACTATGCCTATGGGTTCAGTGGAAAACATTTTCCCACCTCTTACCTCAAAAGCAGAGGCAGGCACTGAAGGTGTCTGACAGAGGGTTATGTTTATCCTTTGAGGAGCTGTAACCAGAATTTTTGGACATGGGTCAAATTCAGAAAAAGCAAGTTCAAAAGGCCCATGACTGTGAGTAGCAAAAACCTGGGTTGTGTTCTTCAATACAATGTCTACTTATAAAGGTGGGGGACTTGTGTTCAAGAAAGATATGGTTGCTAAGGCTTTCCAGATGAACCAGAGAGTTGCGACAATAATTCGTATCTGGGAACCTGTGGTAGGAGTCTTCCTGGCTGAGCAGCCAACACCTATCTGAATGTCCCAGAAAGCATCCTCTCCTGAATGATCCAGAATATTGCCCTTCAGCCGGTGCTTCACTCCGTGGGGGTAGAATGCACTCATATAACCATCGCCTGGGCTACAGTGGTTGCTTCCCATGAAAACCCAGGAAACAGAATCTCCGCTGCTGTTGAAAGTGTATAATTAGCTCCTCGTGCAGCCTGACCCCTCTGATTTTTCTGACGCATTTGGCCCGAGGTGTGCCCTTTCTGAGACCTCTAAGAGCTTCTCCGCAGCTGGAGATGCTCAAAACTGCACGCAGCACTTCCTGTGGGCGTGGCTCTGCATTCTGAAGGCTGCGCGCCTACTGAATCACGTGTTTCAAATGCTCAGATTCACGATGCTTTAAAAAAAAAATACAGGAGTGGACTGTGAGTGGCTCTATCAGACAGAGTCTCTTCCCTTTTTCTTTTTAAGAAGTGGTTGTGTACTGGTGGCCTCCCAAGAAACACTATAATTGGTCAGCCTGGGGTGCGTTTGATGTCCTCTCAGATAACGTCATTAGCTATTTTCAGGAAAGGGAAGGCAGAGTATGCCCCCGGGACAATGACAGCACTTGTTTCAAGTTGGGGAAGAGCCTGTGGTTCTTTTCCTGCGTTTGGGCGAAAGCGAACACACAATGTTCATTTCCTAAATACGGGATGTGCTGCGAGGCTGGCTGGTCATTTTCCACCATGTCATATCCTTCTGGATGAAGGCAGCAGGGGCCAGGACAGGAAATGGCAAATTCTCAGAATAAGACAAGGCTTTCCCAGGGCTGTCATTGGCTCTCTGGAACTATAAAGCTTGCTCATCCAGAAACAGCCTCAGATTCTTCTTTCCTGGAGATAGCCAGAAGTGAATGGTAAGTGGGGAGACCAGAGGAATGCTATCTGAAAGAATAGCCACTGGACTGGTACTACTGGGGTTGTATCCTTGGTCCGTAATACATTTTGAGAAACTTTGCCTCCTTTTTGCTCAGAGGTGTCTTTATCTGGCAGTTTGTCAGTGGTGGGTACAATTGTGGAGGCATGCTAATAAAATTTAGATCTAGGAGTCTAGAGACCAGGGGACTTCTACACTGGGCTCTGTGAAGTATCAGCTGCAGATAGAACTTATCTGTGTTTCAATTTCCTCACCTTCCACTTGAGAATAATGATTTCTGCCCTGATATCTCACAGTAGTGAAGTGTTGGGTTTCTATAGCTTTGTCACTTTTGAGAAGTTCCTAATAATGAAAAGTACAATGGCTATGAAGGGAGAAATCTTTGGCAACTAGAAAGGATGTACTTTTACTCAGGATGTAGTTTTCTCTGTTAGTCATCTTCAATTGGCTTCCGTTCAGCTCAGTACAGATAGCCCTCAGTGAGCTGTTCAACAAAAATTGTGGTCCCTTTTAAAATTCTGTTCAATTGTTACTCATTTTTAAAGGGAGCTTTCATCATAAAGGAACAAACTGGTGCTAGTGTAATTTAGTTTTAATTAAGCATGTATCAGAGTAAGATTTCTGAAGACCTGATGAACTCTAGTTAGAAGAAATAGCACAAGCCTAAGTAATCTTAGGCTTGATTCTAAGATAAGAGCTGGGAAAAATAACAAGCAGAAGAGTTGCTTCAGGTGAGCATCTAACATAGAAAAATTATTTTCTTACATTTAATAGATGCTTTTTGAGTTTTTGGTGATTTGTCTTTTTCACTCATCAGAGAGGGGAAAAAAGTATTGCAAAACTCCTAAGATCTTAGTCTTCTTGTAAGGAAAGGGCTTTGTAAAGGGGTACAACCTATTGCTTGCCACATGTCATCTTGCAGAGATGAGGGCTCAGTATTCCGTGCCTGTTCAGTCCTGGGAGGCTCTTTCTGACCCCATGGATTGTAGCCTGCCAGGCTTCTCCACCCATGGACTTCTCCAGGCAAGAATACTGGAGTGGGTAGCCATTTCCTTCTCTAGGAGATCATCCCCACCCAGGGATCGAACTTGCATCTCCTGCATTGGCAGACTGATTCTTTACCACTTAGCCACCTGGGAAGCCCTTCAGTATTGCAGTAGACTTCTAATATTAATAGCTGCTGCTGCTTCTGCTAAGTCACTTCAGTCGTGTCCGACTCTGTGTGACCCCATAGACATCAGCCCACCAAGTTCCTCCGTCCCTGGGATTCTCCAAGCGAGAATACTGGAGTGGGTTGCCATTTCCTTCTCCAATGCATGCATGCATGCTAAGTTGCTTCAGTCGTGTCCGACTCTGTGACGCTATGGACAGCAGCCCACCAGGCTCCTCTGTCCACAGGATTCTCTAGGCAAGAATACTGGAGTGGGTTGCCATTTTTTTCTCCAAATATTAATAGCACCACTCCCTTATTTAACAGATTAAAAAAAAAAATCAATCCTTGGCATTCCCTGGGAGAAAAGTGGACGAGAGCCTTATTCCTATTGGCTTACTCGTATTTAAGTCCTGGGAAGTGGAGGACTTGTCCCAGATGACAGAACGGGTCTTTGAGAACCTGACACATGACTCACTGGAAAATGACCCGTTTCCCCTTGGGTGGCCGTAGCTGTTGCGCTCGACTTCGGGCTCACCGCGTGTCTCGTCCCCGCAGGACATGGAGAGGCCGGCGGCCCGGGAGCTGCAGGGCGCGGATGCTCTGCGACGCTTCCAGGGGCTGCTGATGGACCGCCGCGGACGGCTGCACGGCCAGCTGCTGCGTCTGCGCGAGGTGGCACGGCGCCTAGAGCGCCTACGTCGGCGCTCCCTGGCGGCCAACGTGGCCGGCAGCTCGCTGAGCGCGGCGGGCGCTGTGGCCGCCATCGTGGGACTCTCGCTCAGCCCCGTCACCCTGGGGGTCTCGCTGCTGGCGTCGGCCGTGGGGCTTGGGGTGGCCACCGCCGGCGGGGCCGTCACCATCACGTCCGACCTCGCCCTGATCTTCTGCAACTCCCGGGAGCTGCGGCGCGTGCAGGAGATCGCGGCCACCTGCCAGGACCAGATGCGCGAGATGCTGAGCTGCCTCGACTTCTTCTGCCGCGGGCAGGGCGGTGGAGACCGCCAGCTGCTGCAGTGCGGGAGGAACGCGTCCATCGCGCTCTACAACTCGGTATACTTCATTGTCTTCTTTGGTTCCCGCGGCTTCCTCGTGCCCAGGCGGGCCGAGGGGGCCACCAGGGTTAGCCAGGCCGTGCTAAAGGCCAAGATTCAGAAACTGGCCGAGAGCCTGGAGTCCTGCACTCGGGCGCTGGACGAGCTCACCGAGCAGCTGGAGTTCAGAGTCCAGCTCTACACGAAGAGCAGCCGCGGCCACGACCTCAAGATCTCGGCTGACCGGCCCAGGGGGCAGTTTTTCTGAGAACATCTTTTCCCATCTAATGACAGAATCCTGAAAACCATCCCCATGGGATGCTCCATATTTGTATCTCCCTCAGGAAATACCAAGTTGGGCTAGGAGCTGAATGCAAAAGATGAGAAAAACTATTCGAGGATGGGGTGGGGGGTGGGGGTGTGTTCTCCCAACGCTTCTTTACCCATCACTGACATCCTGCCAGGGGCTGAGTGCTAGGGACTTTTACCTGCCTGATCCTGGTGGGATATATGACCTGAAAACTATTTTACCTTTTATCATAACCGTTCAGTCTTCACGCCCTTGGGCACTCCTGATTTAAAGTTGTTGCAACGTGCCTGTCCCTGCCTTGGTGCAACGTGCCTGTCCCTGCCTCGGCGGGTGATTTGAGCCGAGGCTGGAGAGCGGTGCAGACATCCCCACCCTCTGGGTCCTCTCCGAGCCCCACTAGGCTTTGAGGTCCTGAAAAACACCCGTGAGAAGAGACACTAGCTTTAAAACCTCTCTGGCAAAGTTTCTGAGTATGAAGAACTCCAGAATCTAGTGCTCATCAGACTCTGAACTGTGTAGGAGGGTTCAGGACCCAAGGGAGGCACCTCCCGCTGATATGCGCCCCCTCCTCTCTCAGCGTACCCTGCTCACAGATCCAACCTGGGGATGGAGTGGACCTTCCTAGGTGACTTCATAGCCAGACCTCCAGGTGCTCTGAGAGGGGCAATCCACTAAACCTTCACCTAAGTCCCGCCCCCTTGCGGAAGAAAATGAAGGAAGAGAAAATGGTTAACAGTTTCATTTACTGACTTCATACTGTAGAGAAGGGATCAGTGGCTTTTGAGTTAGTCCTGGGTTTATTCTGTGTGAGACTTGGCTTCCTAGTCTGTAAAATGGATGCTAAAACCTCACTCTATTGGGAAGTATTGAGTAAGATAAAGCCAAGCAGTGTCTGGGTGGTAAAGAGTGGTCTCTGGGCTTGTAGCATCACCTGGGAACTTGTTAGAAAGGCCAATTCTTGGACTCAGCTCTAGACTTAAGGAGTCAGCAACACAGGTGGGGCTCAGCAAGCTGTGTTTAAACAAGCCCTTGGGGGTAATTTGATGCCTGCTAAAATTTGAACACCATTGCAATGGGTGTTAGTTTGTAATCCCCTGATGAGCGTTCTCTAAATCTATAGCCTCTCTAGGGGCTGCTCCGTCTTTAGTGTCATTCACAGACGGTCAAGGACAGACTGTGTCCCAGAAGTAAAAGAAAATGTGCATGAGGGCCGTTGTGTCAGTGCTTCCTGGAGCAGGTTCCCACTAGGTGAACTAAGGGATATAACAAAATCAGCCCGTTAGAGGGCAGTGTTGCCTGCTCATTGTAGAAATTGGTACAGAAAGGAATGTGAATTTAATGGAAATTGACCTTTATTACCTTTTCTAAAAACCTCCAGACCATGTTTTTTTTAAATTATTATTTATTTTAAGTTTATTATTTAATTACTGTTTATTATTAACATTTAATTTTATTTAACCACATTAGAAAATAATAGGGATAGCAAGTTTCCAAATGGGAGACTACTGAGATTCTTTTCAGGAGACTAAGTTGAGTTTGCCTTTCTAAGGTGGGCCATGAGCTGTAAACAGTATTGTGTTCCTTGAATAAGTCTTCTTCAGAGGGAAGTTTTTTTCTCTAGTGTTTTGAATGATCCTTTTAAGTAAATGAGGGTAGTTCTTTTTTCCTCTTGGATTTTTTTTTAGGGGGGTTGTTGCTCTTTTTATAAGTAAATGAGGGAAGTTCTGAATAAAGAGACCAGGAGCTGAATTTAAGCCTCATAAATGGAGGCTTGACTTGTCAATATAGAAATGATGTGAGCATATCTATCCTGAAGGTACCTTGCCAGCAGATAACATTTGACCTGAAAGGCCCTCCCTATTTAGTTCAGGGGAGAGAAAACCCAAGTAGAGGCAGATGAAGGAAACACTAGGAAGCCTGATGTCCTGCGAAGTTGGGTCTTAGGAGTGACAAAGTAGCTTGTGTTATGATGGTGATGTATTATATTTTCACTTTGGAATCTGTAAGAAATCTGTAAGCTGTCTCTAAGAAAATACTTCCAATTTCTTCAGTTTCTATTGCTACCACTGTATTGCTGAAAAATATGTTGAAAAGTCTTTGGGATCACACACATACCCAAGCTAAGTCAAATTATGTAATTATCCAATGTGATTTAAATTTACCCAGTTGACCCTCATGCTTACCAATGATGGCAGTGTGTCGGAGGAAGTGTAATTTCAGAGCTGGGAAGAGGAGTTGGTGTTTCTATATTTTTATTTTTCCTAAAATGACAATTGATTTGTATCCTGATTTATTTTGAAGTTGGTACCTTTTTAAAAGAAATGGTGTCTAATTTCTTAGGTTACCTTGCACAGATGCTAGCATTTTAGATCACCAGAATGTACTTCATATGGTTATATTATGTTATGAAGGTACAATCACTGCCTAACCCCATCTTGTATTAAAGCTTAAGTTTGAATTATTCTTCTAAATGCCTGAGCTGTTCCTTAGAAATAAACCGGGCACTTTTGGAAGCAGCAGCAACAGAGACCATTTCATATCATTATTGGAAGCAGCAGCAACAGAGACCATTTCATATCATTAGGGTATTTTGACTGTACCAATGTCTTAAGCTCCTGAAATTATTATTTAGTGGCCCACTGTACATCTAAGCAAGGGTGTCTACTTTGGAACAGTGCTTTGCACATTATAGGAGCATAGTAAATGTATTTGAATAATTTAATGAACTGTTTAGCTATATTAATAGGAGTTTGTTTTGATAATGAAAGATCATTCATCCTCTTTTGTGTCTGTTATAGAGATGGAAGCCTCTACCAGGATTTAAGTCAAGTTTAGTTAAATGGATCCTAGAGACAAGTATTTTATTTATTTCTTTTGTGGGAATGTGAATAAGGCTTTTTCCTTAAGGCCATTGTTCTGTAAACAAACAGACTGAAATGGTATGTTGTAAAGGGAAGGAGAGAAAGGGGTATTTAGATTACAAGTGTACTTCAGAACAATATCCGAGTTGGAAAAATAAACATGTTCATATTGAAGGTTTAAGTGCTTCTGTTGGTTTCCGGGGTTTACAATTGTTTGGATTGTTTTCTTTCACAAGAAAGGAGTTTCTTTTGGTTCTGCATCTCAAGCATTCAATAAAACTACATTCTACTCTATTAAAAAAAATAATCCTTAACAGACATTCTGGTCCTAATCACTTTGATGCGTTTGTCCTCAGGTACCTGTCATTTCCAAAGTGGCAAATGTCAGTGTCCAGAGTATTTACTGGGAGGAAAAAGAGAGAGAAGAGTGATGTAGAAGCCACCCTAGATCAGATATGTCAAGCAGTTTGTTGACTATATATGTTTCTCAGTCAATGCCTTGGTATGAAATGAAAGTAGAAGGAATGGAGACACTGAGATAAAGGTATTGTGCAGAGAGAAATGGGATATATTTAATTCAGCAGTTTGTAACCTTCTAATTTTTTTTTTCCCCACTGTAGCAAAATCAGTCCTCTCCCTTTATTGAAATAAATTGCCCATTTCCGTTTCTTTTAAAAGAATTTTTTTGTGATTCTTAATCTTTTAATTTTATTGAAGTAGAGTTGATTTACTCAAACTTCTCGATCTTCCTCTAATTAGTTACCTAATCTCATGTTTGCCTGTGTATAAATTAGTAACTTTGAGAAAAGGTAGAGGTTTAATCATTTTTACTTAGAATATTCAGCATCAAACTATATAAATCAATTTTTAAAGATTAACCAATTCATGTACAGGAATTCTGTTATCTAAAAATAAAACTCCCAGCAGTTTCAAACCTTTGAACACAACTACAACCTGATAAGTAATTGAAAAGAATGCTTGTTGTTCAGTCTCCCAGTCGTATCCAACTCTTTGCGACCCCAGGGACTGCAGTATGCCAGGCTTCCCTGTCCCTACCCACCTCCCGAAGTTTGCCCAAGTTCATGTCCATTGCATTGGTGATGCCATCCAGACATCTCATCCTCTGACACCCTCTTTCCCCTTCTGCCCTCAATCTTTCCCAGCATCAGGGACTTTGCCAATGAGTCATCTGTTCACATCAGATGACCAAAATACTGGAGCTTCAGCATCAGTCCTTCCAGTGAATATTCAGGGTTGATTTCTGTTAAGATTGACTGGTTTGATCTCCTTGCTGTCCAAGGGACTCTTAGGTGTTTTCTCTAGCACCACTAAAGAACTAAAGAGCCTCTTGATGAAAGTGAAAGAGGAGAGTGAAAAAGTTGGCTTAAAGCTCAACACTCAGAAAACAGATCATGGCATCTGGTCCCATCACTTCATGGCAAATAGATGGGGAAACAGTGGCTGATTTTATTTTTATGGGCTCCAAAATCACTGCAGATGGTGATTGCAGCCATGAAATTAAAAGACGCTTACTCCTTGGAAGGAAAGTTATGACTAACCTAGATAGCATATTAAAAAGCAGAGACATTACTTTGCCAACAAAGGTCCGTCTAGTCAAGGCTATGGTTTTTCCAGTGATCATGTGTGGATGTGAGAGTTGGACTATAAAAAAAGCTGAGCGCCGAAGAATTAATGCTTTGAACTATGGTGTTGGAGAAGACTCTTGAGAGTCCCTTGGACTGCAAGGAGACCCAACCAGTCCATCCTAAAGGAGATCAGTCCTGGGTGTTCATTGGAAGGACTGATGTTGAAGCTGAAACTCCAATACTCTAGCCACCTGATGCGAAGAGCTGACTCATTTGTAAAGACCCTGATGCTGGGAAAGATTGAGGGCAGGAGGAGAAGGGGATGACAGATGAGATGGTTGGATGGCATCACCGACTCAATGGACATGGGTTTGGGTGGACTCCGGGAGTTGGTGATGGACAGGGAGGCCTGACGTGCTGGAATTCATGGGGTTGCAAAAGTCAGACACGACTGAGTGACTGAACTGAACTGAACTAGCACCACAGTTAAAAGGCATTAATTCTTTGGCACTCTGCTTTCTTTACAGTCCAGCTCTCACAGCCACAACAGGCTTCAGAAAACCCAAACACTAGAGATGGGTGGAGGGGAAGGACAAGAGACAGCCTCTACATTAGGATGGCAAAACTTCCCCAGAAGTCTCCAGTGGTCTTCACCTGGCAAGTCACTAATCTTAACTGTGCAGAGCAGGATGGGAAATGTGGTACTTTTAGCTAAGAACTAACTGTTCTCCAAATACCTAGGTTTCTGTTTGTAATTAACGAAAAGGAGGATGGACAGTGGTTAGAGAGGCCAACAGTCCAAACAAAGAGCCTATAGTGGTTGCTGCAGTCTGTTGAGAACTACTGCTGGAGCTAATCTCATTATCTGAGTGCCAACCTGAAGCCCCACCTTGGAAACATCCCTGGGTCCGGATGTTGCACTGTTAATGACTGTGCAACCAGAAAAAAAAAAGGCTGTGTTGGCAGGTTGGATCCTGGCTGTTTGCAAAGGCCAGCCGTAAGCTTGGATTCTATCTTTGCTGAAGCATATGGTATTCCTGTCATAACAAGTATTCTTTTAGTTAACTTCAATAAATCTTTGTTGAGTTGACAGGGGGTTGGGATGTTGTTACTTTTTGCTCCTGGCAAACTCCTAAGTGGGAAAGTAAACCCTTCTGTGGTCTGGACTAGGACAAAGAGTGAGTCCTAAAATCTGGAAATAATCCGTTAGCAAACAACAAGTTAGTAGGAGAGGGGGAAATGTGCTGATGAAGCCCTCAGGGCCCAGGAATGAATATCAGGGACCTTCAGCATCCTCAGACTCTGACTGGCATTAGCACTGGGTGGTGGAGAGCAGGCCCTGCGACGTGGTCCTGCCTGCACAGGTAAAGCTTGTCCATATGAAGCTCACCGGCAGAGAGGGATGTTTATTCCTGTTTATATTAATGTTTCCAACGTAACCCCACGGGGTGGGAGGGCAGGAAGTTCTGAAACCTGATTTTCCCCAGAACTTTAGCAGTGAGTCATGGCGGAGGTTTCTGCCTCCCAAGTGCATAGGGCACCCATAACAGGACTTGTGCCAGCATTTGTGTGGATCCAGTTGCTAAATTAAACAAAACAGCTGTAACTGGGAGAAACTTCAGTGTAAATGGAATTGGAGATGGGTAGTGATATCTAAAACCTTTCTTTTAGGCCCCAGATTTCTGTTCCCAGTTTCCCTGGTTGACATGGGGACATTCAGTAAAACTGACCTTGTTACTTGGCTTCCCAGGTGGCGCTAGTGGTAAAGAACCCACCTGCCAATGTAGGAGACATAAGAGATGGGAGTTCGATCCCTGGGTGGGGAAGATCCCCTGGAGGAGGGCATGGCAACCCACTCCAGTGTTCTTGCCTGGAGAATCCCATGGACAGAGGAGCCTGGTGGGCTACAGTCCATGGGGTCTCAGAGTCAGACACAGCTGAAGCAACTGAGCATGCATGCACACAGGACCTTATTATAAAACTGCCCTGAACTTATTTACAAAACAGAAACAAACTCACAGATACTGAAAACAAACTTACTTTTACCAAAGGGGACAGGTGGTGGGGGCGGGGGCAGTGGTGGTGGGGAAAGGAGAAATCAGGAGTTTGGGATGAACATACACTGCAGTATATAAGATGGATAACCAACAGGGACCTACCGTAGAGCACAGGAAACTCTACTCAGTATTCTGGGATAACCTATATGAGAAAAGAATCTAGAAAAGAATGAACATATGTACCTGTATAACTGAATCACTTTGCTGTACACTTGAAACTAATACCACATTGTAAATCAACTATATGCCAATAAAATAAAAACAAAAAACCTGCATTGTCAAAATTTCATTAAAGAACAACACTTTGCTAAATGCTCAAGTAAATGACAATTAGATAACAAAATTATAAAATAAATGTGAGTTTTTGAAAATAATAATCATAGTTAAAATTTGTGGAAGATTTACTAAGTAGTATCCTAAGTACAATTTGATGTGGATTATCACATTTACAAAAATCTTTTGAGGTAGGCACTATAATTACCCCATATTATTAGATAAAGAAAAGAAATACTGGGAGGTTGTACGGCTAGCAAAGCCTGCCCCAGGATTTGAATCCCGGCAGCCTGACTCCAGGGTTATACTCTTAGTTCTTCTGACAGTAAGTTTATTCCTAATATAAAAACTCACAAGAGTGACAACATTAGTTACAAGTCTGACAGGTTCATTAATTTAGAAAACATTTATTGAGTATTCACCTTATATCTCCCACTGTCATTTGTGAGCAATACAGATAGGATTCTAGATTTTATGGCCCTGACAATTTGGGTGGGGTATACTCTGGTTTTTCGAGTAGTCATGTATGGATGTGAGAGTTGGACTATAAAGGAAGCTGAGCGCTGAAGAATTCTTGCTTTTGAATTTTGGTGTTGGAGAAGACTCCTGAGAGTCCCTTGGACTTCAAGGAGATCCAACCAGTCGATTCGAAAGGAAATCAGTCCTGAATATTCATTGGGAGGACTGATGCTGATACTGAAACTCCAATACTTCGGCCACCTGATGCTAAGAACTGACTCATTTGAAAAGAGCCTGATACTGGGAAAGATTGAGGGCAGGAGGAGAAGGGGAGGACAGAGGATGAGATGGTTGGATGGCATCAGCAACTTGATGGATATGAGTTTGAGTAAGCTCTGGGAGTTGGTGATGGACAGGGAGGCCTGGCGTGCTGCAGTCGATGGGGTCGCAAAGAGTTGGACACAACTGAGCGACTGAACTGACTGATACCCTGATGATCCAGTAGCTTAATCAATAAGAAATTAGGGGAATTCCCCAGTGGTCCAGTGGTTAAGACTCCGAGCTCTCACTCCAGAGGGCCTGGGTTCAATTTCTGGTCAGGAAACTAAGATTCCACAAGGCTCATGGTTTGGCAAATAATAAATAAATAAACAACCATGGGATTCTCCAGGCAAGAATACTAGAGTGGGTTGCCATTCTCTTCTCTTGGGGATCTTCCCTACCCAGGGATCAAACCTGTGTCTCTGGCATTGCAGGCAGATTCTTTATTGTCTTAGCCACCAGGAAAACCCCAAATAAATAATAAAATATATTTAAAAAGAAATTAGAACATAGTTTTTCAAATGGCTAGTATTTGCTAGGAGAAGGAAATGGCAACCTACTCCAGTGTTCTTGCCTGGAGAATCCCAGGATGGCGGAGCCTGGTGGGCTGCTGTCTATGGGGTCGCACAGAGTCGGACATAACTGAAGCGACTTAGCAGCAGCAGCAGCAGTATTTGCCAAAAGCAACATGGGCGCAATTTGAAAATGATGAAACTTCAGCTCAGATTGTAAAAATTTGTGCATAGGTGTTTTGTAATCCTGCCCCAATTGTCCAAAA